GCCAATGCCGGAGCCGTACATATGATACCAGAAACTGACGCATGATACACTGGTGGAGTCAAGATGTTCGCTGAACAGCTGAGCCGTATCACCAGTTGTCATGCCACTGAACGAGGTCTCAAAGAATATGTAGAATCCTTTGGAAATAAGATAGTTCAAAGAGATCATCAGTGATGTTTTTGTGATGGTCGTCGGGCAACGCGATTCTATGGAGAACGCAATGCAACGACATGGACGCAGCAGATCGGATTAATGACAATCCGTTCAGATGACCATCGACAATCATCAGACCGAGTCTCATGGTCTAGCGCTCAAAGACAGCGGAATTGGATTCAACGACGCAGTAAGTGCCTGGTTATAGTTTATAAATAGGAAATTTGCTTTATTAAACTGATTAATAAGGTTACATTCTATATCAGCCAATCATAGAGTGGATATTTCAGGATGTTTACATCTCCAAAAACTGAAAATGGATGAATGCACCAATAAACATACTTTTTTATTTATTTAGGCACACAACACATGCACCAAGGAAAGCTAATAGTGAATATGTCACTGTCCTATGTGTAGGTGACAATCCCTTAAACAAGACAAACAAACACACATGATGCTTCACACAAACAAAATATCACTAGGAGGTTTAGGGAGTGGAGTTGTTTGGTCATTAGAAAAATCCTGCAACACTCACAAGAATTGAACCCAGGACCTTGGAATTGGAAGGAAAGCATCTTAACCACCACGTTATTCACTGCTCTACAATAATGTATTTACCTTGGTCAGAATTGGTAGTATGATCTGTAGTTGGACCAGTATAAGAACTTGGGGTATTCCCATTTGCTCGCAGCCAATCCCAATCATCGTTGACAGTATTGGACCACGCACACATACCTTCTTCAAAGTCGCAAAAACCTTAAAAAATAGTTTTGAAATTAAGAACCTGAAGAAAATATTACTCTATTAGTTCTTTTGGTTATTTGCTAGTAGTATATTTCTCTTTACAAATATAAGCAATTATATACAAACTTTATGACATTCTCAAAACAACAATGAATTGAATTTTACATCTGAAAAACATTAATATATTCATGATTGCTATGATGACAGCAACTCTAAATTATATTTTATACACAACATAAAAAATGACCAAAAAAAAGACAAATATCTTTAGTACAATACCAATAATAGTGTTTATCATAAGCTCCTACCTGGACGTCCACATGACCCAGTGGTCAACTCTACATCATCGATAGCAATGTCACCTTGATAATTTGATCCCACTACTCCCTCAACGATTATCTTGTACTGATGGGAGGCCGACACAGATATCTGAGTAAAGCGCCATTGATCATTCAGATCACCTACAATCAAAGTAACCTTCTTCATAATTGTATTGTCAACAACAGTATTGTCTACTATGCTGAAGTTGCTTTAGAAAACTTGGCAAATATTGGTTTGTCCAGGTGAATATTTTTCACTAAAATATTCTACTTAAATATGGGATTATCGTTTCTTGGTAACAAACCATGACATTTGCAAGACTTATTCAAACCAATAATTATGTTTTAATCATAGAGTCTGGTTGTGAGTCAAAAAACAAGGCATATGTGCCTGGACTGAACACTAAACCCTCAGATTAGAAGCTATGTATCCACATTCAGCCTGGTTTCCATAAAATTCATATGAGACACGTGGTGCTACTTGAACCAGCACTTTGTGGGCTAAAGGAGGTTCACTTTCAACGAACGTCGAAAAGGGAATGAGGAAGTTTGTTAGGGAGACGGTTCGTACGTGGCACCCTGGGTCGGACTGTTCCATTTATTTTGAAGGGGTGTTCCGTTTGGGAACAATGGCAATTAGTTGGTTTATCCAGGTAAGTATTCAAGAAAAAGACTTCACTACACGCTACTGCTGACTCTTTGACGATGCTAATTGGTCAGTTGAATCTGGAAGCTTTCCCAATTGCAGCAGGGACAGTTATACAGAGCAAGAATTGTGGTGAAAACATTGTAGCTGTGTAGTGATTGTATGAAAACCGAGCTTTAGACACCAATGCCTTGGAACTGGTTGGCTAAGGCACACAACAATTCTAAAGCATTTGTAAGATTGCTTACCTGTCTTGGACCAAAGCGAAGTTTCAATATTGTTAACAAGATCCTTAGAGAGGACGGTC